CCTTCTTACTGAATTTTATTTTTATACTTTTTTTTTTTTTTTTATCTTTAAAAGTTTTTTTGGAGACAGGATCTCTGTTGCCCAGGCTAGAGTGCAGTGGTGCAATCATAGCTCACTCCAGCCTTAAACTCCTGGCCTCAAGCAATCCTCCCACCTCAGCCTCTAGAGTAGCTGGGACTATAGTTGCCCAGGCTGGTCTCAAACTCTGGCCTCAAATAGTCTTCCCACCTTAGCCTCCCAAAATGCTTACAGGCATAAGCCACCATGACCAGCCATATGTTCATACTTATATTTAAAATCCCCAATGCCTCTTTTTCTGGTGGTCTTTTTTCATAACATACCAGGGTTTTTGTCATTTGGGTGTCTGCTCTTCTTTGCATTCCATCAGTGGCCCTACAGAGGCTGTTTACTCCTGTGTGATTTGCTTTCATTCATGTGGGGGACTTCCCTGGCCCTGGGGTTCCTTAGTACTCTGCCTGTGTTTAAGAGCATAGTACTCAGGTCTACTTGCAGGTGTGGTGGCTGGTGGAGGCTTTGTTAGCTTTAGAGGGTCTGACTGGCGATTGGATGCTTAATTTGGGGTAATCTCTAGAAGAGTCAATGGAGAGCCTTTCTTTGTGGGGAGCTTCAATTCTCTAGGAAGTGACCTTTGATTCTGGTGGCCAGGAACCAATTGCCCCTCCCATGGAAATCCCCCTCCCTTCCCTTACTTGGCACAGAGATCTGACCTTTCAACTGGTTTACTTGCATTCAACTTCTTGTTTGACCTCAGTGGAATCTGGCCTCCCCTCTCTTGGTTTTAAGTCTTCCTGTCTATTTTCCTCATCTAGCTCCTTCTGGCTGCATTGTGGCATGTGGCTTCTCTTTGCAGTTCAGAGTAGCAGACGTAGGCATCTGAGGACTGCTCAGTGGCCTTGGGTACCCTCGGAGGCCACTGGCACTCTTACTCCGCAGCATGGTGAGCGAGGGGCAGGCCAGCTAGTCCACTGTTCTCCTTCTTGCTCCTCTAGCTCCCTCTGGTGAAGTGTCTCCCTTGCTAATGCCCTCTCTTGTTTATTTGATACCTTTTTTTTGAGACAGAATCTCACTATGCCACCCTCAGTAGAGTGCCGTGCTGGTCACAGCTCACAGTAATCTCAAACTCTTGGGCTTAAGCGATTCTCTTGCCTTAGCCTCCCAAGTATCTGGGACTACAGGTGCCTGCCACAACACCTGGCTGTTGTTTGGTTGTAGTTGTCATTGTTGTTTAGCTGGCCTGGGCTGGATTTGAACCTGCCAGACTCTGTGTATGTGGCTGATGCTTTAACCTCTGTGCTACGGTGCTGAGCCTATTTGATATCTTTTAAAGAAGATCTTGCGGCTCCGTGCCTGTGGCTCAAGCGGCTAAGGTGCTAGCCACATATACCTGAGCTGGCAGGTTTGAATCCAGACCGGAACAATGCCATGGCACTCTATCCAGGGCAACAGCTTGAGGCTCTATCTCAAAAAAAAAAAAGATCTTGGGTATAAGAGTTGGAGATTGTGGCTCGGCACCTATAGCTCAACCGGCTAAGGCGCCAGCCACGTACACCTAAGGTGACGGGTTCGAATCCCCAGGCCGGACCCACCAAACAACAATCACGGCTGCAACCAAAAAATGGCCGGGCGTTGTGG